TTGGGGGGGTTGTGGTGGTGGTTGGGGGGGTTGTGGTGGTGGTTGGGGGGGTTGTGGTGTTGTCTGGGGGGGTTGTGGTGTTGTTTGGGGGTTTGTGTTGGTTTTTTTTTTGCTTTGGGATTTTTTTTTTGTCCTGTGTGACTTCAAGGTAAGTCTTGTGCTAAATCTCTTTCCAGCATTATCAGCTCTGTGAGTTTTATGTATGTCAGAGAAGAGTGAACTTAATTTTATGCTTTCTGAGTTATTCTTTTTACTGCATCAGTGTAAAATGTGATCAACTGGCAGGACATTGTGGCTTCATGGATACAGATTCTAGGATGTGCCTGGGTTGAATGGATTTATGATAGTACAGATTGGTGGGGAGTTTGGGCTTGTGGTGGGGCAGTGGTTTTCTGTTTGGTTGGGGCTTTTTATGGGTTCAGTAACAAAGAAGTTCCACATGGTGCCAGTGCTGGAGCTGTAAATGGAATATTCAGTTCTGTGGAAACTGCTTTATCATGTAGGGTGAAGGTTTTTGGTTTTTAAAAGGATCCTTTGAAGCCCTGAACTGTTCTTATGAGGAGCTGCCTATGGCATGTTTTTAAACATTTAATGTAATTTTTGAGAGGGAAGATAAGGAAAAGTAATATAAAATATTTTAGTCCTTTAAATGGTCTTTGGGGCTCTTAATAATGGTGGAAAGTGCAGAGGCTCAGTACTTGATGTTCATTATTAAATTTTAAATTAAGCTACTAATGCAGTTTGAACAAAATTGCTTAAATTTGTGCATAAGTTCTATTTTTTTTGTCTCACTGATTAAACTCTGAGTGATCTAAACTGAAATAATGTGACTGGCAAAATGAGTGTGTGCTTGGTTGGGTGTTTTTGCTTCTGGCAGTGGGGTGTGTGCACTATTTGTAACTCTAAAAGCACCACAGTTACCTTTTGAACATGTGGCAAAAAAGTGATTCCAAACAATTTTGCTGCTCCTAATTTTCAAGCATTTGTTAAAATCCTGAGTTTGCTGATGTTGGCACTCCTGTGTCTCCTTTGCAGCAAAAGAATGCTATGCAAAATAGCCTGAAAAAACTTCAGCAAGAAATGGCTGTGCTTGAAGCAGCACTGAAGCAACAGGGAAGTCAGGCCTGTGAATTTTTGCCTCTCCACAGTGAACTGCCACATCCCAGTAGTGAAAGAACATTGGAAATGGAACAAATGAGACAAGATAAAGAAAGGTCAGTGTTTGGGGTCTGTTTGGAGGTTTTTTGGTTTGTTTTTATTTCTAAACTTCTACTAAAAAAATTAAAAATCTTGAAATAAATACTTCTGAGCAATGGCAATACCTTTGCTGTTGGTACATGACTCTGATACTTAGAAGAGTGAAAAAGGTATTAAAATCAATTTCCCTCTCCCCAGGTCTCCAGAATTGTTGCTCCCATCTTCTGAATCCTGTTTGTTAAAGAGACCAGATCTGGAGAAAGGCCTTGAGTGTGACAATGTTCTAAAGAACAAAGCTCCTTGTGAAAAGACAAAACCTGTGCAGGAGGCAGTGCAAGAACACAGGCAGTGTCAGCTTGAAACAGGTAACATTTAAGAGGCAGCCAACACATTTTGAATTCTGGTGGGTTTTTTCCTGCTCTTCTCATATTTTTAAATACCAGCAAGATATACATCATCTTCTTGTACATCAAGGATTTGAATTTATATGTTCCTGGTCAATTTGAAAAGATGTTACTACTTGTTTGGCAGCTGTGTGGCTGCCCATGGGGTGGGACAACATTTTGACACTAGTAGGAGTTTTTCTGTCTCACTTCTAAACTCATAGTTTTTGACTAATACACTACTGGAAGTTTCACAGGTATTTTAGTGTCTTCACTGTAGATCAGGAAAAAGTAATGATAGAGGCAAAGATGAAGTAATAAACACATAAGGAAATGAAGTAACTGCAGAACTTAAACCTAAAAGATAGAGAGAGCAACAGCCTTCTACCATGACTACAAGAAAGATGAAATTTTCTCAAGGAGTAATTTCTCTTTTCCTTCAGAAAATGCAGAGGAGCAGAAATCTGGGACCAGGCAAAACAGTGCATCTGTCTCATCAAATCCCTCTGGAAATGTGATCAAGAATCCAAATAACTCTTCCTCCTCTACAAGGCTTCTTAACCCTCCAACTCCTGAAGCCACAAATGGGTCTGTTGTAGCTCAGAACACTAATAAAAGCTGTGGTCCAGGACACAGATTGAAGAAAAGTGGCTGTTTTCCTGTACCTGTCCTGCACAATGCAGCTGGGAAAGAAAATGCTCCAAGTCCAGTTGTGACAAAGAGGAAAGAAATGTCAATTGTGGCATCAGGTCTGAATCACAGTGAACATGTAAGTAAATGTCAGAAGTTTGACATCACTAATTAATGATTCCTGATTACCACTATAGTCCTCAGAAGAGAGATCTCTAAGTATAATAGAAACTAATCTTGTGGGAGCTGCAGATGAGTAACACAGCAATTCAGGTCAAACCTCTTCACTCCTAAAAATGTGAAGGATGCTGCCTGTAATGGCACTATTAAGGTTAGTGAAATTTGAGCTTTTTAAATGACTCCTAATGTCTGGGGGAAAAACACATTGTTCCATAGCCAGAGGACTTCCAGACAGCCTTGGGCCTGGGCAAGAGGCTGTTTGAGTGGTTGGTTCACTTAGTGAGGATTTCTGTAAGCAGTAGTTCTGAGTTGCTAATAAACCTGTTTCTGCACTCAGTTTCCAAGAGGATTTGGCTTTTTTTTATAAACCACATACCAACAGCTGTGCTTTACTTTAATCTGCTGAAAGGTGCCAAAATTATTGACTTTTAAGGAAATGTAGATTCTGTGTGCCAACCCAAATAAAACTGTTACTTTAAAGGGACTGTGCCATTATGTTATGATCCTGCAAACTGGGGCTGGTGGGTTTAAATCTGTTTTGCTGCCTCTTAGTTTTCTTTAATGTTTTTCAGTTGGTGGTCCAGAAGTTTGCAAGAAAAACTCAGAGCACTTTATCTAATCACATTACTGAAGGAACAACCCATGTCATAATGAAAACAGGTTTGTTGGGATCTCTGTGGCCAAATCCTATATTGACAAACCATACAGAATTTTACCTTTAGTCTAACCAACAAGCAGACAGGTCAGCAATAAATTTGAATAAGTTTGAGGAGAAGGTGTTGATTGTTCATCATAAATTTTTTGTTGGGAATCTTTCTTACTGTGTTAGAGTGGGGGTGCATTTTTTCCTTGTGATTCACACAGGAATATTTGATATTTGTTTCTTCAGCTGTTTAGTCATAATTTTCAGGTGTTTACAGCACATTAGTGTGAAGTAGTTCATAACCAACCAAAAAGAAATGAAGGTGGTTCCCAAAGAAATCGTACTTTTTCTTGCCTCTTCTCTCTGTTAAATAACTAAAAAATGGTTCACAACTGGTACATGTGATTACTTTCTGCTAGTTTCCTTCAGTTTAGTAAAATCAGGACACTAGAATTTTTGAATCTTTCTACGGTTTTGATATTTTGCTGCTACACTTAGCAAAAAAAATTTTGGTTTTAGGCACAAATAACCTGAGCTGTGTTTTTTTGGGGTTTTTTTTGCTGATGGAAGAACTTAGAGATGTTACTCTTGTTTTCTCTGCAGATAAGGAGCTGGTGTGTGAACGGACACTGAAGTACTTCCTGGGCATTGCAGGAAGAAAATGGGTGGTTAGTTATCAGTGTAGGTATAACTTGTTTCAGAGGTAAACAGTCTTTGCCCTTCTACCACAGATGTGATCTTTATTTCTTACAGTAAAGGAGAAAGGATCTCTTCATGTCTTGGAGTCTGATGTGTTGCAGTGTTTCTTCTAAATACTTAAAAATAAATTAAAATTGAGAACCCCAAACAAACAGCAACATCAAAATTCTTTAATTTTCTGAGTTCAAATAACCACATTGCTCCCCACCCTGGTAAAAGTCTTTTTTCCCCTCTAAATTAAAATCTTGGAGATGCATGACAATGATTAGTGTAAAATTAACATTATTTATAAAAGGTAAATAAATTTCTTAAGTTCTTTCAGCATCATACATACTTTGTACCAAAGTATTCCTTTAGTACAAATACTTTCAGTTTAATATAGCAATGAAGTCAGACTCCTGGCAGTGGAAGAACAGTTTTGCTGGATGAAATGACTTGTGCTCTGATTTTTTTTTTTTTTATTTAGGGGTAATTCAGTCTCTTCAAGAAGAAAGGCTCCTGGATGAGGTAGGTCTTTTGTCTTGGGTGAAATGTCAAATGGGTAATTAATGCTGTTACACTGATGGACTTAGCAGTAATCCCAGATACTGTCTAAACATTTAATATATGGAACTCTAGTCTGAAATCTAGGGTTCTGGTTTTACCAAATGCTAGGAGCTAAAGCCACATTAATACTTTGTGTTCATTGTTATTGAAGACATCAAGTCCCTATTGTTTTGTTAAGAGGTTGTAGACATATTTTTTTATAGGCATTCCTACTGATATTGATAGATTATGGCATAGAGCAAAAGATTTCCTTTGCCTGAGGAAATACTATGTACTGATAATTTCTATCAAATGAGATTTTACTGATAAGTTAATTATAATCATGGAACATGCTGCTTCTTTTAATCCAGTTTGCTAGACTACTATACAGTTTGACTATAATTTCTCTTAAAATTGCCTGATGGTGCAGGGGTTTCATTGCTGCTCTCCAGCATTTCTCTTGAAAAGCCTTTTAATTGTCTTTCTGCACACACATATTTGTAGCTTGTCAGATTCCAGAACTGAAATCCTTCTGGTTTGATGCAGAACTGACAGGAAGGTGTTCTCAGCCTCTTAACTTCTGATTGCTTGTGTATGTTGTGTTCCAGGAGGACTTTGAAGTTAGAGGAGATGTAATCAATGGGCGAAACCACCAAGGTCCTAAGAGGGCTAGACAGGGTCAGACTGAAAAGGTATGAGCATATCATCATCCTCCAGCTGAATATCTGCAGCTTCTTCTAATTTCTCTGCTGTTCTGTATATACAAAGTTGTACAAATTCAGCAGTCTCATACATGAAGGGGGAGCTCTGCAGAAGAACAGATAAGTTGAAGTGACTCACTGTGCCTGGAGTGAATCCTGTCTTTTTATAACATAGCATGGGATTAAGGGTGCTGGGGGCTGTTGTGCTGGGGGCTGTTGTGCTGGGGGCTGTTGTGCTGGTTTGTAGGCTACAAAAACCTTGGGATACACTTTATGAAAATAGTGACAACTTAATAACAAGCCCTGGAAGTGCAGTGAAACCAGCATATTAAGTATTGACCTTTAAAAACCCCATATGTACTCTGTAATATGTGCCTTCCTTTTCAGATCTTTAAAGACTTTGAGATCTGTTGCTATGGACCTTTCACTGATATGACTACAGGTGGGTCCTTTTAGTGGAATTAAATGAATTCTTAGCAAGGAAAATCATTAGTGTTGTGCTGTCTGGTAATTTTTAGATGCTCTTGAATACTTTTATTTGAACATTTTTTTTCTTCTGTCTTAGTAAATAGTTCCTAAGTATCCTTCTTCTAGTAGTTGCCAGTCCTCTGTGTAACCTTCTATCTGTAAAGCAGGTATTAAAAGTTGAAACACAACAAAACCAGAAGTTCATATGCAAAGAAAAAGCTGTGCACCATAGCTTTACTTTATTTTGAAATTTAACAAACTATATTAAATGTTTTTAAAATTTAAGCTAATATTCTTCCACTTAAAATATTTGTACCTAACTCCCCATTTTTGTGGCTTATTTATCAGATGTTTTCTGATTTATCCAGTAATTTTATTTTTGACTGGGTGAAATATCCTCACATCTCTTGACATTTACAGTAATTGCTACAGAGGATACAGTGCTTTCACCTGCTGCAGTGATAGTCAGTTGTGGCTCTTGAGAGACTTATTTATCTTCTTCACTATCAGTTCAACAAATTGGTGGAAATTAAGTACTTTGACTACTTTAGTTTAATGAGAACTAATCACAGTTCTAACTCCTGGTTTTTAATTTTCATTTCGTGTCTTGCATTTCTTGTCTCTTATGATAAGGGGAAATAAACTGTGACTTTAAATTTTGGGCCTGTGCTCCTTTGCTTCTTCAGTGTTTTGCTTTGTGTAGACCTGACTAGAGGGTGAGGGAAGATGGAGCTGATGCTCCTCAGCAGGTTTGAAAATGAAAAGACTTAACATTCTACCAAGGCTAAACATCTCTTCCAAATTGTGGTACTTTGTATCTTGGAGCAAATGCAGGAGGGCTCAGGGAAATAGCATCAATTCCAACCTGATCTAAAACATTGCAGTAACAGACTGTTCATCTGATTTCTTCAGAACATCTGGAGTCTATGGTGGAGCTTTGTGGTGCCTCTGTGGTGAAGCAGCTTCATCTGTTCACACACACCCCAGTAAGTGTTCTGAGTGTTACCCTTCCCCAGTCACATCATGGTGACAGATCAGCACTGAGCCTCCCTTTCTGTCCCAAAAAGCCTTTAGTGCCTGAATGGAGTCAGAGCATTCCTGGAGAGAAACCACAGAAGAACCTTAGGTGCTGATGTCCTCTCTCTGCTACTTCTTAAATTCCTCTCTGAAGTGATGCTCTGAAGCAGAGTTAGCTCAGTTATTGCTCTCTGCAGATAGATATGAGAATCATTTAAGGACAGACAGATAACAGTAGCATTTTTATTTTTTTTTATAGAACTCTACTGCTGTTGTGGTTGTGCAACCAGATGCTTGGAAGGAAAACACAGATTATGGAGGTAAAGTGACACTGTCACGGGCTGTTTTCTGGTACACATTCAGTGCTTTTGTCACCTCTGTCCTTTTAATAGCTAAATATCAGAGAGGTTTGTAGAGGAATCAAAATAAAATCCTGCTGCATCTGCAGATGGAGGTAAGTCTTGAAAGAAAAATCTGGAAGCACAAGGCATATTGTCTCAAGAATCAGCAATACAATCTTAAAACCTACTGTGGCAGGTGAATGCTGTTGGTTCAGTTGCCCTCTGTGTATCATCAGCTTTACAGAAACTTTTCTGATTAGATTGTTTTTGAAAGGTGAGGAAGGGTATCCTTGGAGGACTAGTGAGACCTAGGAGAAAGCCTCAGATGGAACAAGATTGTTTTGGTCTGGAAACAATGTCTTAACTGATATAATTTTGCCTTTTTTCTTTTAAGCAAAATGCTCTAGAGAAACCAGGAGACTTAGAAAGTCCAAGTGTTCCTGACTGACTTACTTTTAAATGGGATAGTGGGAGTTCCAGAATGAAAGGGAGCTAGTTAGTTTACAGTGAAGTTGAACAAAAAAGTGAAGCAGGAGGATGATGTTTAAAAAAAAAAAAAAAAACAACACCACCAGCTGTTTCCATGGAACTGGAAAAATGAGAAAACAGAAAGATCCTGGAATGGGGAAGAAGAGCCTGAAAGTGCTTCAGTAATTTTATGTTACCTGTGCCTTAATGAGCCTCATTGCTTGTCACATACTTGTATGTCTGGGCAGACAGGAACCAGAGCTCTGTCACTGAGGTCTGAAATTGAAAAGCAAAGAATGCAGTCCTTGTTATCTTTTCGTGTTTATTCCCTGGTATTCACTACTTCCTGCTTGGCCAGTTGCCACCCAGCCCTTCTCTTTGGAGCAGCAGTGTTACCTGCATTGTTAAAGGGAATAGCACTGCCCACATCACTGTTTTCAGGCTTTTGTTTTTTACCAAGGCTTTTAAAATGTTACAAAGAAAGCAAATAGCTTAATCTGCAAGACACTGGTAGTCAGTCTCACCTTAAAGTTGCTTTGACTCCTTGCTAACATTGTGTCTTTGGTGTGTTTGTCTTCCAGCGATACAGCAGCAGAACAACGTTGCCGTGGTGACCAGGGAGTGGGTCTTGGACAGCGTGGCTTGCTATGAGTGCCAGAAGTTTGATGCTTACCTTGTGTTCTAAGGGTTAACAGCAGCTCTTTGGCCACTGCTCAGTGATCAGTGCTGATAGTTTGAAATTATTTTAAGGACTGAGAGTTTTTGAGACAGGCAGAGACAATGTGTGTCTGCTGTTCTTGTTCAGAGCAAACTGACAGATTTTTATTAAAAATAAAATTGCTTATATAACATTACCATCTACAGATAGAATTAGCCACTGTTCTTTAAAGATTTATATTAATATAAAGCACTATTTTGAAATTACAAATGTTAAACAAATTTTAAAAGTTAGAAAATGTAGAATATGGCCTCCTCAGAGAAATGGTGATGTGTTCTTTACCATTGCAGCCAGTTCCTGTTTATATACTTGTGGCCAGTTTGGAGACAGTCAAAAGAGGGATATTGGGCTCAGGGCTTGAATTAAAATGTTCTTGCACTCTGGAGTAACCCCCATGTTTTCATTTGGTTTAAATGCAAACCCTGAACACCATTTGTGATGCATCGACCACTGACTGGTTGTGTTGAAAACATCACAAACAGCTCTCTTGTTGTATATCAAAGTGCCAACTCACCCTACCCAGAAACATTCACACATACAGCCCTCAGAAAGCCAGTGACTGAGTCTCAACAGAAACCTCTCCTTAAAACCACGAGCCCATACCAGTGTTGTCCATCTGATTTCTGGCAGGTGTCTGTGACACTGTGAAGAGTTAATGAACAGATGCACTTTAGTATCCCAGTGACCCATAATAAGCCCAGTAAGAATCTGCTTCTAATAGTCCCTGTGTGCAAAATGAGGCTGTAAAGAAATTACTTTTTATGTAAGAAAATATGTTGTGTGTTTCTGTTGCCAAGCAATTCAACTTCATACCTAATTTTGTACTTTGAGAACAGAAAGAAAACCTGTTCTCATGCAGTGGTTGTTTAAAAAAAAAAAGTGTCTTTAAGTTCAGAGAAGTGTTTAGTGCTCAGATGGTGATGTCTTGGAAAAAAGTATGTTACAAAAGTATGTTTGCAAATATTGGAATACTCAAAGGAAATAAAATTATTTTGGCAAGTATTTCATTTAGTTGTTTTGCTTTCCTTGTGTGAACCAGTCCCTCAGTCTCTGCATTGAGGCAGGTGTGAAAAAATACCTGCAGTCCAACCTCCTGAGATGGGCAAGGAAAGTGGAAACTTACTGGAGGTCAGAAATGTAAATGAGAATTTCAGGGCTGGAATCAGAACTGTAATTCCTACTCACCCTGATAAGTAAATGTGTTATCAAGTGTCTTGCAGCTGCCAAGTGCAGGGGGGCTGATCAGGCATTGCTGCTGCTGGTGTGAGAGCTGGGAGTGTTTGCTCCCCTCACATATATTGCTGTTTTCTTCTGTGTGACAATATTCCATACCTGGGGCTGTCCAGCACAGCCTCACCTGCAGAATGATGCTCCTCTTATCTCTGGAGTCCAGGCTGGTGGTGGGTTTTTATAATCTACATTTCAAAGGGTGGCTGGGGGCAACGACTGGCCAGTTAGATGTGAGGAAAAGGCCAAACCAAGACTGTTTTGCTTCTGCCATTGTGAAACTGTCCCCCAGATCTTGATGCAGAAGTCCTTTCTAGCAGGTAAGGTACTGGCTCCAGCTGGATAATTGTCTATAGGAATGACACCCATGACACTGCCCTTCCTCCTAGATCTGTGAAAACCATTCCTATAAAGTAAGTGAGCTTTTGTAGTGATTTCCATCTCGTGTAAGATGTGAATGAAGGTGAAATGACTTGACCAAACACACAGCTAAAGCAAGGATATGCTTCCAAAGAATTAGGCAGTTTAAGGGGAGCTGATGTGGCCTCCCTACGGAATCCATATGGACTTCTCTGGTTGCACTTCCAGCTTCAGTGATGAAGCCCCAGCACGTGGAGGTCCATGGCACTGAAATGCCATATTATAGGCGAGGACCAAGCTCCATTTCCTCCCTTTTTGCTTCTGAGCCAGAGCAGCTTTGTGACATTTCCCAAGGCAGGAAGCCTGAGGTGAATGCAGTTTTCAGGTGTGGCTGCTGTGCCTGTTACAGCCATTACCTGAGAGGTGAGGAGGGCAGGATCACACATCATTAGTGACCCAGACACCAGCTAAGGGAGCTGCACACAACCTGCCCTCTCAGCAGCAAGTGCTTGTGATCCTGTTCACTGGAGAAAAGGAAGAAACAAAGGAGAGGTTGGTGCCTGCTGTAAGTTTGCCTGAGGCTTGGCCAGCAGGTAAGTACCACATTTGTATTTAAAACTGCTTTGTAAGTTTTCTTACATGGTCTTCTCCATGAGGCTGCATCAGAGTGAACTTGAGGAGTAGTAGCTGTGGTCCAGTTGCAGGAGGAATCTGGTGGACACTAGACAGTGTCTGTTTGCCAGAGCAACTGCTCCTTCCCTGTGAAAGGAGGCTGGCAAGGGCTGGATTGTGGCATGGGATGGTAGGGACCTGTTCAACAAAGGGATCTTTTCCAACAACTTTAATCTGCTGCCTTTTCTGTGGGTGCCTTAAATGGGACATAGTGTTCCTTTTAAAGCCTGTGCAATTGTCCACATTTCAGTATCTGACCTACTCATACTGCTGATGAGCAGCAATGAGTACTTGTACAGCTTCTCACTGAAGTACTTTATCTTTAAAATCCTCCCTCTGGATCCATACACAGAGTTGTTTCCTTGCAGATCTGAGGACACTTTTAAGTGAGCAGCTTATTCATGGTTGCAATTAGAACTCTTGTGTGACTCATTACTGGAGTTAATAGTAAATCAAAGAAATATTCAGTGTGTTCCTATAATCGTTGCTGGTGATTTGTAGGATTGTTTTCATCTTGGGTCTGGTGTCTGTTTTATTTTGCTGATGTTATGAATAAAAACCTTGTGCATAATCTGTAATAATCCCTCTTGGTATGAAATGCCCATGAACTCTCCTGGTTCACAGGACAGAGGGTGTGAGCTGAGGCCAAGCAGCAAAGCTGCCTCCCAGCTGCTTATAAACCTTGACTTAGACTTGAAGAGCATCAGTTCTTGTTTGCTTGTTTCTTTGGTGCAAAGAGCACTTTTGCAAAGCAGTTCCTTGTTCTGCTGTGAAGCAAAGACATTCCAAGCCTATCAGGCTCTGAGCCTTTAGTGTTGAGAATGCTGGAATGATTGTATTTGGTAGGCAACAGGTACTTCACAGGTATGAGCGAGGGCATGTTTTGCAGGCTCTCTCTTATTCATGTATCCAGTGCTGCTGTAACACCTCATTTGAAAAAAAAAAAAAAAAAAAAAAAAAAAGAAGCTTTGAGGAGGTGATTTACTGTAAAGTTCAGATTTTCAGCAGAACATAAAGCCTCTCCCTTCCTCCTTGCCCACTGCCATCCCTGCTCAACCCCTGCAGCACTCAGCCCTTGGGGAGGTCGAGGGCCTGAGTGCAACTCAAGGCAGTCATCTGGCTTGACTTGGGCTTTGGATGTCAAGGTGACATGCCCTAACCCAGCTGCAGAGGAACAATTCCAGTACTGAAGTTGCTGTTGGAAGTCAAAAGGTTGCAGGAGAAACAGCTGACAGAATTTTTTGTTCTTTCTTTATGAGCTTCAAGTCTGGTTATTGCAAGCTTTGGTCTTACTGGGTTTTTTTCTCCTGCCCTGGTCAGTACCTAATTCCTGGGTGAAAAGCACAAAAGAAAGGCTGTGCTCAGTTGGATCAAGCTGTTCAGAAAAGCAGTTCTTTCCTTCTGGTCCCTGCAGGGATGGTACCCTGCAGTATGAGAGCTGGCTTTCCTGGAGCTGCTGAACAGGGCTACTGGTCAACAAAAAATTGCTCAAGTGCACAACCCTCACAGATTGAAGGGCAAGCCAAAGATAGACAAGCCATCAACACGTGGCTGTGTCCTGCCAGTGAATTCCACTAAAATGCCCTGTGTAAGCTGGCTAAGGCCATTTCAGCTCAGGCTGGTGTTGGTGCAATCCTCCACGTGTGCAGGGTTCCAACAACATGAGCTGTGTTGGGGGCTGGCTTAGCTCTTCCAGCCAGGTCAGGCTCTGGGAGCCCATGGAGGGGAGAGTTGCAGAACAGGAAAAAACCCCAAAGTTAAGACTGAGCCTCTTCTGAAGCTGGCAGAGCTGCTGCCAAGATCCCTTTCAAGTATTTACCAGGCAAGATTTGACAAAGGGTAGACTGATCCAAAGGGAATGCAGTGCATCAGCACAGCTATTTATGCTCCTGGAGGGATGCTGGGTCAGCCATTTCCCACGAGCTTTTAATTCCTTTGTACATTTTCCCCTATTCATAAGAACCTCTCCAGAAACTTTTCCTAGGAGGTATGTGGAGGCTTCCTTTCCCTCTCTGCTTACACTCTCACATGTTTCTCATTCCTGGCTTGGAAGACTTTTTGATTCACTGAGGCTCTATTTCTGCTTAAGAAATCTCTTGCAGAAAAATCAGCAGTACTGAAACACCTCAAACCAGTTCAGGATTAGACAAACAGATCAAAAGTTTATACTCTAGAGGAAGAAGAGTTGGTGCCCAAAGCCTCTCAACTAATCAAGTACTGAGGGACTGTCACTGGAACAGAGTGTGGGTGGGGGAAAACATCAAAGAATTTTGGTCACTGTGATTATTTGTCATGGCACAGAACTAGAGCCTGTTTTTTGGACTGGCAGACTGTGACACACAGGGAACTCCTGAGGCTGATTGTTTTAAAGCTGCCTTCCTGATGCTGCTCTGGGGAACTAAGTTTTTATAGCTCATGCACCTGATCCGATTGCATATTAGGATGCCCTTTTTCCTCTCCAGACTTTTGCTCTAGATTAGCAGATGAAGGAGACCTATTTTCCCTTATCCCAGGGAGAAAATTCAGTGCTGTTCCCTGTAAAGGGTGGGTGCAAACTTCAAACTGTTCAGTGTATCTTACAGAGTTCTATACCCTTTCCTTGAGAACAGTCAAGCACAGAAATATTAATTTTAATTTTTAAATTAATAATTAACTTTCATTTTTATATGGTCAGTTAATTTAAGAGAGTGTGGTGAGCCCTGCAGTTAATGTGTTTTTCTTAAGAGTTGAAGAGAGGGGGGGAAAGGAGACTGAATTGTCTCTACCCTTAGCCAAGCAACCAGCTGTGCATCTGTGTGAGTGTGTGCTGGCAATACTAATCAAAGCCCTGCTGGCAGAGCCCTGCCCAGAAAACTGGGCTCTGAGAGCAGCTCGTTATTTCACTGATCACCACACAGCTCTCTAAAAACTGCTGACCCCTTCTTAATCCTAATGTGACTCTGGCACCCAGACTGCAGGGGTTGCAGTTTCCTCTGCCCCAGTCCCATGGCAAGTAAAACGTTTTCTGCTGTTGTAAATGGGAACCAAGGAGCTGGGAATCTGGCTGGATGTGGAGAAAGCATACACAGGTAAACATGGACTTATCCCTGACCTACAGAGCTTTTCTTTAACTCTCCACAGTTACAGAGGATTATAACAAAAGCAGCCCAAGTCTGCGTGGCCCCTTTCACCCAGGGAGCAGGACTGAGGCTGTGTTGGCAGCCTCACAGCACAGCCCAGGAGGACTCTTGTGGGCAGCTGCTCCAAGCCCAGTCCTGCTGACTTCAGCTGGGCAAGACTTTCCTTGGAAAGGCTCCCCGAGGTGTCCTGCACAGGGCTGGAAGCTGTTCTACCTCCTAACAGCCATACCATGTAACTGTCTGGTGGCAGGAGCCAACCATCAGGCTCAGTTGCAATTTCAAAGCACCATGCTGGGCTTGTTCCACCACCTCGATATCAAAAGACCCAGTCAAAAAGAAGAAGGAAATTTCATCTGTGTCTTGCACATAATTGTCTTTCCTAACTGATGGCCTTTGTGCCTCCCCTTCCCACCTTTCTGTGGGGATAAATCGAGGGCCATGAATATATTCATGAAGCACAGGCAAGAGCAAGAGACTCAGGGAAGAGGTTCTGTTCATGGAGCCTCCCCAGGGGCCTGCATGCAGTCATCTGCCAGAATAAACATGTTTAATTACCTGCATTAATATTCAGATCATGAAGTCCTCAGCATTTGTATTTATTCGTTTATATAAATGGAACAAGCTTTCCAGAGCATGGCTGCTGCCATGCACATTCCCTCAAGGCCCTTTCTGAGAGAAGCATTTGCCATTTTGCATATATACATTTCAATTGATTACAATGGGTTGATTGATTAAACGAAATAAGATTTACAGTTGTAGAAATCATCTGGGGTCAGAGTAAACACATGGAAATGTCATGTGGTTCATCTGCAGCTCAGTTTCACCTTAGATTAGTGATTCTTTGCCATTTCTTAGGTAGGGGGTTTGAGCACTTGATTGGAACGTTGGTAAAACAGAGGAAAGAACTTTATCACTTTTTCACTTGTCACTGAAAAACAAAGCAGGGCCGTTGCCAGGAGCCCCAGTGTCTCCTCTGTGCTTCTGGCCTCAGATTCACACTGAACTGGGCAGGTCTCTCTGGTGTTATATATTTGCCATGATTTAGAGCTGGGAGCAGTGCTGGATTCTTGCATTGGCCTCTTCCCATCCACCTGCACACGCAGATTGCAGCCCCACCACCTGCTCCCAGGTTTCCTTCCTCCCTCAGCACCTCCTGGAGGTCTAGCCCTGATCTTCCTATGAGCATTTAACAGGTGAAACTGGTCCTGTGCTTAATAATGGGAGTTTCACTTCACTGTCAGAAAGCAAAGACATTTTATATTCAAACAGATGTCAGGTGTGCTGCCTCTGAGCAGCTGTAACCCCCTTTCCAACACAACAGGGCCCTGATTCAGTGGTCCAGTCTGGAAAGACTTAATGCCCAACTGCAGTTCTTAAGCTTGACAGAATTGAATTGAAACAGAAGAAATGAACTCTTCAGCTGCTTTTGATTTCTTTCTATTTGATCACCCATTCTCCTTCCTTTTCTCTTGGGTCCTCTGATTGCTAATCTTACAGGTCATGGAACTTCACTAAAATAATACACCAGGAAGATGTCATTAATTATTAATAAAGGCTTTATATATTTCTTTTCAATAATTTAACTTCATTATATTCAATGCTATTACACTAAATACCAGAACAATTAGTACAGATGGGATTGCTGACAGGTAATTGTCACTGTAAAATTATCTTGATTTGGAAGGTGTCCATTAATAAATACATAAAGCCCAACTTGGAATCACTATGGAGTTTTATTATAGTTCTTGCCATCTCACAGATATTGATTAGTTATCTCCCTTAGCATTGTTAGTGGAAGGACTATTGCAGAGCTGGTGACCTGGTGCCAGAGGCACACAGAGCCTTGCAGAGCAGCTGCTGCAGAGAGATCCGGGCTGGAAGAATATCAGCAAGTTGCCACTCTTGGGAGCAGAACAATTTCTGCTGAGACCCAGACTGAAGTGGTTGCTGTCCCTGTCAGTGAGCTGCTCAGCCTACCCCATGGGTAGGGAATGCTTTTTTTGGTAGGACACCTGCACTGGCAGTGTTGCTCATCAGTTTTTCTGCAGGCACTAATTAGGGGCATCAAGTCCTCCTTACTTGTCTTTCATGTGTCAGTTCCACTACTTCATCTGCTTGTTTTTGTTTCTCTCTTTCCTGTGTTGACTCATCTGCTGAGGAGAGCCCGTGGGTGCTCTGCAGCAGCTCCTCCATCCTGCCCCTGTGAGCCCAATGTTGGCACCACACCAAGGCAGGCCCGGCGTGGAGCTGAGAGGGAGCAGGGAGTTCACACCATACAAACCAGAGCCAACTCTCACCAGGTCCAGCACTCCCAGCTGACCAAGGGGTCTCTAAGCTGGATCTGAGACCAGCAGCTGACTTTGGCTCTTTGAGTCATTCTTTCAGGGAACCTCATTCCCTCTGTTGGTGATTCAGGGATTCAGAGCTTCCAATCTCCCAAGCAAACCCCATCCCCAGCTGACTGGGAAGTCACCCACTTGCAGTCAGGTCATTTCCTGCCCTCTTCACACGGGTTGGACCCTCCCTTGGCACATGGAGGAGGGTGAGATGAGGTGATGAGGTGATGAGGTGATGAGGTGTGCCTTCCCTGCCTCTGTGTGGCAGCGTGTGCTGAGGTTGGGCCCATGAGTGTTTTTCCTGGCTGCAGAAACTAAGTCACAATCCTGCACTGTGGGATCCAGTGGGAGCCCCCAAATGCCATCACTGGGTTGCCTGGTGCTTCTTAACAGAAACTCTGATGCTCAGGAGTGAGGGTCATGGCTGTATCCCACACACCCATGGACCACTGCTTTTTTTTTTATCCCAAATTATCTGTCATTAACTTCAGCAGATTCTTTGGAACAGTTTTCATGATAAAAGGGGAAAATCCCAACACTTTCATTGACTACTTTTCTATCTACTCCCATATAAAAGACTTCCAAACTGCTCCCTGCAGATTCTGGCTTGGTTTGGAGAAGAAGGGACCCAACAATGGGTTTATTTCATCTGTTCTGTGGCTGTGGCTCTCCTTTACTCCTTCAGATATTTTTCTTTTTCTTTGCCTTTTCTATTCTTCTTTCGATTTTGCTTCCTGTTTTGTCTTGTTTATTCCTCTGTAGAAAAGGATAGTGAAGGAGAGGGACTCCTTTGAAAACTCTGGTTAAATGAGCTACTGTGGGAATCCAAACACTCTTTTTTAGACAAGCAATCTAGTGGAGAAGTAAGTGCCAGAATATTAAGCTGCTTGCTGAATTGTGGCTACAGAGAACAGCCTTATAGCCCTCTGAGGAGGGGCAGGGAAGGGGATGGGGATACTCATTAGCCCAGAATTCAATCCCACTCTGAAGCCACAAGTTCAAACCTTCAAAGGCTTCAAACAGTCAATGTCTGGGTTGTATACAAGTGTGGCAGATGCATGTTTTGGGTTCAGCCCAGCTGTGGCAGCATCTGCATTTTGGCTTTCATTAGCTTCCCATGAGGTTCACGTTTCTGTGTCCAGCTCTGCTCTGGCCAGGTCTGAGTCTGAGTCTGGTCCTGCTCACTCTGGCAAAATGCACATTTTTTTGGTGGCTACACGTTTTTGAGTTTTTGTCTTTTTTTGGTTGTTCTAGAAGCAGCTGGGCACAAATTACTTTCATTCCAACATCATTATTTTCATACCATGGGTTTCCAGCTAGTTAGAGCTGTGCTGAGGGGGAAGCAGGGGCTGGGTAGCAATGACATTTCCCTGCAGTACAGAAAATAAGCAGATTCACAAAATCAGAACAAGAAGCTTTCAAGAAAGATCCCCGTCGGTTTTGTGTAACCCCAAACACCAGCTGCTTTTCTGGCACTGCAGCTTCACCTAAAGTGCTGAGTGCTGAATGTGCATGGGAGATGTCACCTGGGCATGGAAAGCAGAAGGAAGACCCTGGAGAATGCAGCTGCCTCTTCAGAGAGGCAATTTGGAGTTTCATGTCCTGGTTCCCTGGGGGGAACCAGGTCCCCTGGTTGCTGGGGGGCATCTTGTGGGAGTGGGCATTGAAAATTCCCCTCAGGATAGACCCTGGGAACTAAGGATTTGCTTATAGGGTGAGCTAACAAATTAATACCTGGGAGTTTAAACTAATCAGTGACTCAGGAACTGCTTTTGTAGATTAAATTCGAAAGTCTAAAAGATGCTAGAACACGGTATAAGGGGATGTGCTTGCAAAATACTGCTGCTCCTATGCAGAAAGAACGGAGACACAGTAACTGTGTGTGTGACACAAGGATGGTGAGAACAACTGCATACAGGTTATGAGGAGTGGGCAGTGACACTTGTGTGCCACAAATTGCTACCATCCAAGCAGGGACCTGGTTTTGCTCAACGAAGTTTGCAAAGGCTCTGGGAACCCTGCAGAGTGAAAAAAAAAAGCATTGTGATGCTGAGGGTTCTTCTTGGCACACTGCCTTGCTCAGTTCCTCTTCCCCTAGACTGCAGGTGGGCATTTTCATGCTCTTGCAACCTGCACACAGCACAACAGTGTCCAGTCATTGATGGAGTTTTCCTTGTTCTGGTAACTGAGCAGCTCCAATCCCCCAAAAAGCCTTCAGCACGCAGCTTTGAAGTCTAAGACCTGGGTGCAAGAGTAGACACAAAATATTGAGTCAAAAGATGTTGATGCAGCGAGGACGAGGGCAGCTCGTGTCAGCTCAGATTGCTGGATCAGGTATAGACAACCTGCAAATGCTCCACAGTATTTAAGGATTAGGGATGGAGGGAGAGGTTATTTAAGGCAGGTGTTTCAGCTCCAAAATGAATACATGCAGCTAAGTCCTCTGTGTTTTTCACTGAAGGGTATTGCAAGCGTATTTCAAGACCTAGAGAGAGACATTTGAACAGAAAGAGAAGTCAGGCATTAAGAGATTTTGAGAGGATGCGTGGTTTGACTATTAAAAATGAACAGAGTCAAGCATTATGCATTTTCCAATGATGTTTATTTGTTTCCTGTAGCCCACAGACACAGTTGGATCTGGCAACAGAGCAGATTCTTCTTTTCCTTAAAGTGTCCACGTGACATTAAGCCCAGGCTAACACTGTTGTCAAAGGCATTTAGGGAGGGAGTGGCAGAAGCAACGGGAGGTGCTGGGAGGAGGCTGGAGAGCAAGGCATGAGGGCAGGAAACACCTTCCATCCCACTGCCACAGCAGAGACAGCGTGCAGATACACATAAAATCAGTTTGCTCATCTATACCAGACAAATACAGCACCATGCAACACAATCTGCAGCTGGAAGTGGGTGGAGAGCAGGATATGGGTAGTTATTGCAGTCTGCTCACAGGGAGCAGCCTGGGGAGCAACCAGGTGGCAGCAGCTCACACACAAGCTCCCAAGAGGCATTTGCTTGCTGAAGGGAACCATGATTTTCAGGATGCATCTACTGGGACAGACCTCTCCCTTGGAGCCAGATCCACTCTGCTGCATTTCAAATGGAGTTCAGGTATCTAAAATACCATGTGAAGAGACATCTGTCTGCTTTTTTCACAGGAGGTCAACTACCACGGTGTCTCATCAGGTTAAGGTTCCTTCCCAGGGTGCCTTCCCTCCCAGCTCTGGCTCAGACCTGCACCTTCCATGGCACCTGCTGTCCAGCCTCGCTGAGGGCAGCACCACCTCAAACATCTTTTCTCTTCTAAAGAAAGATCAGAAGAACACCTCCTCCGGGTCGCACTCCACTGCTCACAATCCCCCCTCCTCCCTCCAACCCAGGTCCCACGCAGCCCCCACCCCACACTGTGTGTGCTGTACAGCTGCACAAAGGCACAGGGCCTGGGTTGTGGCTACAGGCTGTGGGTACAGGAAGGTGGCACACAGACAGCATCGCTCCCTTTCCCTTTGTTTCGCCCGGTCACAGACCTTCCAGCACCTCAATACTCCTCTGCCAAGTGCTTCCTTCATCCCAAGCAATCTGCACAGCAGCAGCCAACCCAGAAGTCTCCACAGTGCAGGGCAACTCGTGCACCCCCATTTGCAGCTGGGACCTTTTCTCAGCCCTGGAGACTGAGAAAAAGGCTTTGGAAAGGCAGGCTGGCTCCCACAGCCAGCACCTCGTCTCAGCCAGTTCCTGTACAAAATGGACAACACACACACATGATTTACAGCCTGTTTTTCACATGATGGAGCAGCTCTTGGCTCGGTCTTTCCTGATCTCTGTGTCACTCAGTAAGTCTGTCCTGCCAGGCATCTGTGACACCCGCTTCAGTCCCCGTTTGGAGTTGCTGCGCTTCAAGTTCTTGTGCACCCTGTTGACCGAGGCCAGTGTGGTCACGTGAAACACGTCCCGCACGCTGTTCTCCGACACCTTGGAGGAGCACTCTGCGTAGGCCACTGCCCCAATCTGCCGTGCCAGTGCACTGCCCTGCAGCCCAGAGAGAGCAGGAGGAAGAGGAAGCAAGGTTAAGACACAGGAGCATCCTCCCTCAGGGCCGGCAACCCTGCCTGTGCTGGCAGCCCTGCCAGAGCACTGTGGCACCACCAGCACAGCTCTCACAGTGGTTCCTCAGCACCTGCAAATACAGTGCAAGCCTCTGTGAGAGCTCCAGAGGTGAGGGCAGCCTCCTGAGCAGACAGTGCTGCCAAGCACTTGGCCCTGGGTCACTGGCACTTTCTCATTCATAGGATGCCACTCCTGCAGCTGAGACACCTGGGCAATCCCTCTCACCTGGACAGTCACCTGCTCTGTGCAACACAGAGCCAGGCACAGTGGCCCAGGGCACAGCCACCCCTGCACCACAGAGACCAGGTCTGTTGCCAGCCTGGAGACACCACTGGGTCCACTGGTGGCCAGCAGCAGCAGCCCCTCAACCCTTCCAGCTCCAGCTTTCTCCCTCACAGCAGTTTTTCCCAACACAGAACCTGAGCAGGAGGGTCACTGGGGGAAGAGCTACACTGAAGTAGGAGATGCAGAAGCCCACACTCCCCTTTAGCCAGTCCAGCTTGTCAAATCAGGCATCTCCACCCTCTCTGAGGAATGACTTTTTGGCTACTAAGCAGGAGGCTGCTCAGCAGAGCATCAGGAATAAGTCAGGGGCTGCCAGTGTTGGGGACAAGAGTAAGTGCTGTCAGCATGAGCAGCTCTGAGGTCCTGAGCCACGACCAAACCTGCTGCAGACCAAGACCTGGGTACAGTGGGTCACAGAGCCCCTGTCTCTCCTCCCTGATCCACGTGGAGTCCTGCCCAAACCCACCTGCTCATGTGTCACAGGGATGAGGCGCTGCTTGGAAAGCTCCCGGAGCGTGTTGAGGTCTGTCCTCATGTCCAGCTTGCAGCCAACCAGCACAATCTTCGCGTTGGGGCAGAACTCCTGAGTCTCCCCTTGCCACTGCAGAGGAAACAAGAGGCTCTGCTGTGTATGATTTTCCAAATGGTCACAACTGTTCAGACACTGATTAGCTCATCAGGGCACTTTAATGACTGCCACAGACAAGGATGGGAATGGTCAGAGTGCCTCTTTATGCCAGATTATGCTCTGCAAACCTCCTTGATCCAAGCTGCATCCCCTGGGCAAGGCTATGGGAGGCCAGTTCTGGCTGTGGTAAAATAACAACCACACAATCTGGTGCACAGATCTGGGACCCCAAGGGTCAACACAGCCAGCGGGGAGCTCTCTGCACAGCACACACACTATTTGTTTACTACTGGGAACCACATGTTAAAGACATTACAATATTCAGAGCTTAGGTATAGCCAGAATTGAAGAAATAAAGAATTGAAGGAAAGGAAGGAGAAGGCCAGGGCAAAAATCCATGTCCTTCACACAAATGGTTCATTTCAGAGCTCCCAGAATGAATGCCTGATGTCAGCTGTGTCTGCAGCAGTAAATAAATCCATCACCTGTGACCTCCCCCTGGGGAGACCTGTACAGCCCCATCAGCATGTCAACACCCTGGTTACTTATCTAGGAGTTCTGAAGTAGGAAGCAGATAGTAGAGATTACCCTTGGCTGAAGATAATACTTGGAATTAGCAGTTTCCTGCTGAGCTAACTGATGGTTAAGGATATACCCTGGGCAATCAGAAGAAGAAAGAAAACCAAGCCACAGCCCAGTGTTCACAACCTGGTGGGGAAGTGCCAAGAATGACCCAGGTTTCAGTCAACCAGTATCAGACCAAAGCAACTGCAAAATATGGAAAATTTTTATTTTCTACCAGGAGATGGGCTCAGGTATCTTCAAGTATTTGCTTGACAGGGACATTTGTTCCCCAGGACTCAGGCACCCCCAGCCCCTGGGCAGCAAGGGCTGCACAGATCTCTGGTGCCTCAGCCACAGAGCACCAAGGGCCAACGAGGAGCAGATGCAGTTCTTTTGGAGCTGAAATTCAAGCATCCTGATTTACATGAAGGGTTTGAGCTACAGGGTCTATTCACACCTGGCAGAGGTCCTAGCTGTCTACAGTAACACAGGGCTCCTTGGTCTCTGGAGAGAGCTGGGGCACTTTTTCCACATGACTGACAGCTCTGGGAACCCAAGATCTGCTGTGCTATCAAGACTTGCCAGAACAAAGGCACCACCCCATGAAAACCTTCTCTGTATGAAAGGAAGAGTTGCTTGTTTGCATTCCCTCAGATGGCTGTCCCTTCAACTGTACATGCTGTACAGCAGCCCAGGCATCAAAAGGGCAGCAATAATAAAGATTTCCTCTGCTGAATTAGTATTTTTGCCTGAGGCTTGAACAGCCTGATATCACAAGCTAAAACCCATTTCAACTTCATGGTATCTTAGGAATTCTCCTTACCTCCATAAGGCTGTGAGCCTGCACCAAAGGAAACACGGCACTTAAGAAATCCCCTGGGATTTAGGGTTTATTTTAAGTTACCATATCAAAAAGACATTCCCTAACAGCACTCAAAGTGTCTGTGAGGCTGCACAGAGAAGGCTGTGCACCAAGCAGGGTGGACTCACATGAAGAGTGTGCAGAGAGACATAAATAACTCCCAACCCCAGCTAATTATTGAGGGGTTTGCATCTCATTAAGGTATAAGTGATTCGCTTGCATTATTATTCTGCTGACTCCCAAGCTGAGCAGTGAATTCCTTCAGTCCACATGAAACACCCTCCCTTCCACCCAGCCTGCTCAGTACCCAGGACCTGCTCTGGAAGCCAACACTGAGCCATTGACCGAGTTATCAGAAGGGTCTTTGTCCCCTCACCAAGACACTCCTGAGACAAAGATCCACTTCTCAGGCCCCCCAGCCGCTGAGTAAGAGCCACTTGCTTCTGCACAACATTTGGCAAAATGTGGAGAGGCCAAGAGGGCACCCAGTACAATGTGACATGTTCAGGTTGTGGCCAGTCCAGCCCTGGCAGCCTGGGGCTCTCTGAGGAGAACAGCCACGGGAGCCACTGCTCTGTGGTGCTTTTCACACCTCGGTGTCTCAAAGAGTGTCACAAACGAGACACCAGCCAAGGCTCACCCCTGGGACACAGGATGAAGCTGCCAGATGCTTTGCTGCACAGTGGAACCACAGCTCCCTAAACTTCATGGAAGGAAGCAGGGTACAGCCAGGACCAAGGGATGCAAGCGACCAGAAGGCCATTTCTCCTCTCTCCCCTGAGCAGCATTCTGAGTTGCTCGACTTCATTCCATCTCAGAGGAAAGCCTCACGAAGTGACCCACTGGAGACCAGCCAGTGGTGCTCCTCAGAGGATCCCCAGCCCTGTGGGGCTCTCTGGGACCTGCCAGCTGGAATGTCAGCTTTGCTGAAAGTCACTAACCTGCAGGTCCAAAGCCCTCAGCTGCTCCTGCAGAGCGCAGATGGTCAGCTCTGCCAGGGCAGGTGGTGCTCAGGGCCCTGAGCTCCAGGCCAGTGGCATTGTGCCATCTCATATTCATTCACAGGCTTGAAATTCAGTGCCACAGCTCATTATTTTTGTTGTCAAGCTATAGAGAACTGATTGCTGTCTTTCTTACTGTGCAGATGCTGAACTGAAGGGAGAACCAAAAAACTGAGCACTCTGCTTGCTTGGAAACAGGCACCAGGGGCCACTTCTCAGCTGCTGGAGGCAATCCACAGTCACTGGTGGTGACAAGATCCAAAACACCTTCCAAGGTCTTGAGGAAAAAAACAGAACAAATGCCCTACATTTCTCTCTGTCCCCACATTTGTATGTGTGAATACAGACAGACCTCACACACATGCTGCAAGCCACCATGAGCTTCACCATTCACTGGGCTCCTTTCAAATGGAAATATCTTGCATTCTGCACAGATCATGCAGAGATGGTGGCGGCAGCAGCAGCTGATCATCCTCCTCTGAGCACACAGACTCCGGCCAAGGCTTGGCCACAGGGCCAGAGCTTTGAGCCTTGATGGGGAGCAGGGACCCCAGGGTGGCTCCACGAGGGCACGGGGCACTCACCTTCTTCAGCACACTGTCCAGGGTCTCTGGGCGGCTGATGTCGAAGCAGATGAGCACAGCATCTGAGTCGGGGTAGGCCAAGGGACGGACGTTGTCATAGTACGCTGAGCCTGCGGAGAGGAGCGGGAGGAGTGGGGTGAGCAGGTCCCATCCCACCGACTGCTTCTTGCCCGAAGGGCCAGGCTGAGACCCTCAGCCCTCTCTGCCAGTCAGAGATCTTTAATTCCAGTAAGAACTGGAGACACTGCCACACAGTGCAGACTGCTCTGTTGAAGATGAAGGATGTTAACCCAACTTTTTGACCAGTGACCAGACATCATAAGGTTTAGCAGAGTTTGATTCACAGAGGATTTGGCTCCTTTGTTTAGGTACGGAAGTCAGAGGGTTTGTCCTGGTGTGCTTGTATTTAGCTCTTTAGAGAGAGAAAAAGCAAGTTTTGCATCCCTCTCCCACCCTAGTGAGCATCTGGCAAGTCTGTGTGGAGCTGCACTGCTGGGGGATGTTGCTCACACAGGAAGGAGCTCGGGACACACCTTACTCACCACTGACTCCTGGATTCCATCACTTGTCATGCTGGTGCTGCACCACTAACAGTGGAAAGGTGCAGCTGAGAGAGGACAGGAAACGCTGCTGCTATTTTTTTATCCTCTCTTGCTATCTTTATACAGGAGAGCTTGCTCACATAGATTATGAGAATTTAAGACAGGTAAAAATGAATTGCCTTTTTCTCTGGATTTGTGCTGGGAAAAGCCAGACAGCTTCTTTTTGATACATAAAAGAAGTGACAGGATTTGGTGAACAATCCATAAATGGAAGGGGATGATTCTGCATTCTGCCGGGATTCTGTGAGCAGGCAGAGAGCCCAGCCTGAATCCTGCACACCTTCTACTGCACACACATGCACATGCACACACCTTCAGTGCAAATTTCAGGCATTAAAGTCGTTGTGCCATAGGGGTGTTACTCGCAGTGCATTCTGTCGGTGAGTGCAGATGCCTCAGCAAACAGACACGGAGCAATCAGCTCAGTGCAGCCGATTGCACTCTGCTACTTAGAAACACTGCTTCGGTTTTACATTTGCCTTTGCAATGGCTTAAACTTCCCGGAGGAACGAGCAGCAGTTGTTTGTTTATGAAAAGGGTCAGCAGAGACACCAGAGTCCTTGTTGAATCTGCTTCCTCCGAAAGCAGGATCGCCCACCCGAGGCCGAGGAAGCCGGATGCGTTTCCTGTCGCAGCCCCTCAGGATGCCCAGATCCAGCATTTTCCCACACCGAGAGGAGGGTGGAGCACCCAGCCCGGGTGTCGGGCGGCTCCTTGATGGAGTCCAGCACCTGATGAATTATGGATGCTGGTGGCTTATGTTTCCGGGACAATGGGAATCTGCGTGGGAGGAGAAGGGGCTGATTCTCCACAGGAGCTCTGCCCCTTGGTCCTGCACAGGGGGCTCCCGGCTGAGGTACAACAGCCCCCTTGCACAGCACTGCCCAGACCGCTCTGCAGGACAGCCTGGGGAGCACAGCTATGACCACTCCTGCCTCTGCCCAGAGCCCACACGGGGCAGGCTGAGGGCTATGTGGAATCTTCCCAGACCCTGCCCAGTGCCAGAGACTGGCCACTCACTCTCCCCTTGCCACCGGCTCAGAGCACAGCACCAACAGCAGCCACCAACAGCAGAGCTCGGGGGCTCTGAGCAGCACAGCCCCCACCATTCCCACACAGCCAGAGGCAGATGCCCTGGATTAAATCTGCAATAGGATTCCCAGCAAAATTGGCTACAGGTATCTCTAGCTCTTACAGCCAGCCCACAGGAGCAAAGGCATCTGCACCCCATGCTCAGGTCATGGAGAGATGTGTCTCTGTCCCTGCCAAGTTATCGGGAAGGAAGCAGTTGCGATCAGCACAGCAGAAACGGACCCTGATCTCTGCAGAGCCCAGCCCTCCTCCTAGAGGGAAAGTCATGCTCCCTGATGGAAAGCAGCCAGTCCCTGCGGCGCCTCGGACAGCTCTGGGGACGGGGATGCCGCACAGGGTGGCACGGAGGGCTTTCTGACCTGGCCTCAGGCTCACGCTGCTGCAGCTCACAGCTGGCAGAGCCGGTGCCATGCGCTGCTCCCTCTCGTGCCCCGAGATGACCCGGTCCCGCCGGGCACGAGGCCGCTTTGACAGGCAGCACCAAGCGCAGGAGCGCTGAGCTCCCCTCTGAATGCGGTTTTCGGTCATGTGCTTGGTGTGGGCTGAGGGGATGAGATGGGAAAGCCAGCGCTGATCCACATGCTTGAATGAGTCAGGTCCTTTATCTGAGCCATGCCCTCTCCCCCATGCACACAGGGGTGTCTGCCTCCAGACAGGGGCCCTGGCAGTGGAGGAAAGCGTTCCCACACACATCCTCTCCCTTCGGCTTCTCTGTTTTACATAAACACTTCAGATAAATCTACCCCCTCCCAGCCAAGGAATGCTCCTTTTGTAGAGGTGGTTTTGGCTCGTTCAGCACAGACATTGCCACAGCAAACTGTATCATAGCAACCTGCTGCTCCTCAGCAGCAAGCCAGCCCCTTGGAAGACAGCCAGCATCGCTGGTGCAGCCCCCCATTATCCCACAGGACCACCTCTGTCCCATCCTCGTGCCCAGAATCACACTCTTACCACTTGTGATCACAAAAGGAAAGATCCCCATGCTGGTGGGAGAGGCCGAGGGAAGAGAAGCATGAGGCAAATAACCTTATCTTCTTAATGAGATCAAAATTTGCTTCACATTCATTAACTTTTTGCTCCAACTCCAAAGAGCAGGAGTCACCCCTGGCACCTCCACTCAGCTCAGAGCAGCACTTCCACCCCAGGAGACTGATGGGGGGGACCCATGGTCAGTGCTGCCCTGTGGGGCAGGAGAGTTGCATTGCTCCCAGACAAGGCAATCCCCAGCTTGCTCTGGAGATGACTCTATTGAATCAGGGAATTCTGTTTGGGTGATTAGTCTTCTAGTTTTTGCATCTGTTGCTTTTTCATTGCATGCAACAATTAAAAAAAAAAAAACCAAACAACACAAAACCCAACAACAAAACATAAAAGCCTCAGTGCCTTCAACTCTAGTTCTTCTGAGCACCTTTCATATACTCCAGCAAGACACTCCAGAGACCCACAGTCTGGCACTTCCGAACACACACACACACACGCCCAACTCTGGTGTGTCTGCAGATTCAGCCTTCCTTTACTGCATGAGTCATTCTCCCACTTGGCACCCAGGTCTGCAAGACACAGGACCTATGTGCATCTGCTCATGATTAAAGGGGGAAAATTGGAGCAAGCCAAAAAAACAGCTTAAAAATAAAATCCACGCAGTTGTCTGAAATTCAGAGGTGTATACAGCCATGAGCAGCTCCTCTTTCTCCCTGGCTGGCAGCCCCTGGAATGCCCAGCACTGCAGCTCAGAGATGCTGCTCTTGGGCAGGGGACTGAATGCTGTTTCATCTATACCAATATTGTGCTGATCTTCACTTGTTCCTTATTAGCTGTTCTAGAGATAACGAGCCCCCTCACATGGGCACCCTCCATCCAACAACAGGACATTACAAACCAGGAGAGCCAGTGTGCATGCAGAGCCACGATCTGCTCTGCAAGGGGCTCCTGCAGCCCTGGCCAGCTCTGGTTTGAAACAGAGACAAGCACTGCCAAGACCTAAATTTCTCAGCAGCACACTTGTCTTGGAGGGCTCACTGTAAACTCTCCCCACAGAGCCAGCAGTCCCTGCTTTCTGCAGGGACAGAGGATGTCTGCTCTGCCAGACAGATCCCACCAACAGTCCAGCCAAGCTCTGGGCAGGAGGACAAAGCTGCCAAAGCAGGGCCAAGCCATAAACCCCACAACTTCTACAAGCTTCTTTCCTGGCTGGACTTTGACATTTCTCTTGCTCATGCAACATCACTACAAAGCTCTGAGAAGTACAGGAAAGTAGGAAACTGCTCCATGACATGGAACAAGCAATCGTCTAAAAAGTGCAGGACTGATCAACAGCTTGGCCAATTAACCTCTGCTCCTAATTCTTTCAATGCACATACAAAAACTAGTGAATTACTGAAGAGCCCAGGTGGCATACCTTCAGGATGGACATAATCAGGGTGAAGGGAATGATATTTACATGGGCTGAGGTGGCATTTCTGGGCCTCTCTCCAGATCTCATTACTGGAAACCTGCCCCTCAGGAGGAGGCTGTTCTGCTGGATTTACCAGTAGAAGAATCTCCTGCTCAGGCAGGCACAGGGTGCTTCTGCATCCCAATCCTGTGTCCTGTCTCACACATGCAGCTACCAGAGGTCCAGAGGAGCTTCCTCAGATGCAAACCTCCCTCCAGCAACTGTGAGGAAGCTCTGAAACCTCCCTGTAGAAGTCCCTGCTGGCTCCAGAGGGAGCATCACAGAGTGTCTGGAGTGGGAGGGCTGGGTCTGCAGATGCAGCCAAGGAGCTCACCAGACTTTTCAAAATCATGCCTGCAGCAGCTGACAAGGGAGACAAATGGGAGTCAGAAGTCCCTTCCTGGCACTCTCACCATGTCACAAGGGCAGCTGGCATTGCCACAACCTGCCTGTCATCCTTCCTATGGGGTACAACAAGGACTAGGAGTGGTAAGAGCTTCCTGCAGCACAGCCAGCACACATTCTGCCTTTGGGGAGCACCATCCCTCAGCCTGAGGGCGGAACGAGTGCAATTATCTTGATGCAATGCTGCACAATTCAGGTTTGCTGTGCACAGGCATTAGATCCCTCCCTGACTGCTTGGCTGCCAGATTAGGTTTCTCCCCACTGGGAAGGCTGGGCCTGTACACTTGTGAAGTTTAATGGAGTGGAGGTTTCAGAATCTGGAGCAAAGGGGACAGGGGGAGCTGTCCTTGCCACAGGAGAGAACAGATCACCTCCAGGCTGTGGGAAAGGGGTTTGCACCAGAGCTGGGAACAAACCCACCCTACAGAATGCCCCTCCTTGTCTACAAGGTCACAGCAGGGTCATCTGGTTGTCACTAATGGCAGTGCTCCCCAGCACCTCATAACTCCCAGGACACTCCATGGTCCTGCAGAGGCTGAGCCTCTCGGATCCATAGGGGACAAAGGATAGATGCTGC